CCAAGAAACACCAATGGCAGGTTCGACAACGTGGCTGCCTCGAAGCAACGAACGTCACAAGAGTCTCTTTTCATCCGGCCTTTCTCTTGAGCTGCCCATGTCGAGCCACATTGCTTTCATCAGGCACCGCACCCTGCAAAAAAAATGATATCGGGATCAATGGGTCAACCTTTGACAGTGTTGCTCTGACGTTCATGAGTCACCGAATTGCAGAGCATTTTCCACATTCATTCATCATCTGCAGCACACATCAGCACGCAAAAAACACCAGTTCACATACTTACTTCGCTGCAAGCTTACCAACCTGGCCTCCTGCATATTGACTGCGTCTGGGCTGCTAGCAGGTGTGCAAGTTGTAGAGCACGGACTGGGTGAAAAAGTTCCAACCTGCAAACGAATGCCCTGCCCAAGCAATTCAAAAGCAAGGTGCACACACTAGCCACTCACTGACGGCAACAGCGATCAGCAAGTCCAAAAAGGTGAACCTACCACATGGCGCCACATCATGCCATAGTGTAGCAGCCATGCCCATGCCTTCCCTCTGATACGGTTCTGCGGTGTTCTTGGAGCCGGGTCAGCCTAGATGCGACAGGTGGCAATGCCACCCCACGCCCAAGCGCCAAACCAATCAGCGCCTGGGCCTCATCGAAGTGGTACTTGTGGCAAGTCAAAGCCTGCCAAAACGATTCAAGATGCTCCACATTGCGCAGGTCACAAAGTTAAAGTCGGACAGGTTGGGGGGGCCAAAAAACTCTCCATCCGGCCTTTCTCTTGAGCTGCCATGTCGAGCCACATTGCTTTCATCAGGCACCGCACCCTGCAAAAGAATGATATCGGGATCAATGGGTCAACCTTTGACAGTGTTGCTCTGACGTTCATGAGTCACCGAATTGCAGAGCATTTTCCACATTCATTCATCATCTGCAGCACACATCAGCACGCAAAAAACACCAGTTCACATACTTACTTCGCTGCAAGCTTACCAACCTGGCCTCCTGCATATTGACTGCGTCTGGGCTGCTAGCAGGTGTGCAAGTTGTAGAGCACGGACTGGGTGAAAAAGTTCCAACCTGCAAACGAATGCCCTGCCCAAGCAATTCAAAAGCAAGGTGCACACACTAGCCACTCACTGACGGCAACAGCGATCAGCAAGTCCAAAAAGGTGAACCTACCACATGGCGCCACATCATGCCATAGTGTAGCAGCCATGCCCATGCCTTCCCTCTGATACGGTTCTGCGGTGTTCTTGGAGCCGGGTCAGCCTAGATGCGACAGGTGGCAATGCCACCCCACGCCCAAGCGCCAAACCAATCAGCGCCTGGGCCTCATCGAAGTGGTACTTGTGGCAAGTCAAAGCCTGCCAAAACGATTCAAGATGCTCCACATTGCGCAGGTCACAAAGTTAAAGTCGGACAGGTTGGGGGGGCCAAAAACTCTCCATGAGTCTCTTTTCATCCGGCCTTTCTCTTGAGCTGCCCATGTCGAGCCACATTGCTTTCATCAGGCACCGCATCCTGCAAAAGAAATGATATCGGGATCAATGGGTCAACCTTTGACAGTGTTGCTCTGACGTTCATGAGTCACCGAATAGCAAAGCATTTTCCACATTCATTCATCATCTGCAGCACACATCAGCACGCAAAAAACACCAGTTCACATACTTACTTCGCTGCAAGCTTACCAACCTGGCCTCCTGCATATTGACTGCGTCTGGGCTGCTAGCAGGTGTGCAAGTTGTAGAGCACGGACTGGGTGAAAAAGTTCCAACCTGCAAACGAATGCCCTGCCCAAGCAATTCAAAAGCAAGGTGCACACACTAGCCACTCACTGACGGCAACAGCGATCAGCAAGTCCAAAAAGGTGAACCTACCACATGGCGCCACATCATGCCATAGCGTAGCAGCCATGCCCATGCCTTCCCTCTGATACGGTTCTGCGGTGTTCTTGGAGCCGGGTCAGCCTAGATGCGACAGGTGGCAACGCCACCCCATGCCCAAGCGCTCATCGAAGTGGTACTTGTGGCAAGTCAAAGCCTGCCAAAACGATTCAAGATGGTCCACATTGCGCAGGTCACAAAGTTAAAGTCGGACAGGTTGGGGGGGCCAAAAACTCTCCATGAGTCTCTTTTCATCAGGCCTTTCTCTTGAGCTGCCCATGTCGAGCCACATTGCTTTCATCAGGCACCGCATCCTGCAAAAGAAATGATATCGGGATCAATGGGTCAACCTTTGACAGTGTTGCTCTGACGTTCATGAGTCACCGAATAGCAGAGCATTTTCCACATTCATTCATCATCTGCAGCACACATCAGCACGCAAAAAACACCAGTTCACATACTTACTTCGCTGCAAGCTTACCAACCTGGCCTCCTGCATATTGACTGCGTCTGGGCTGCTAGCAGGTGTGCAAGTTGTAGAGCACGGACTGGGTGAAAAAGTTCCAACCTGCAAACGAACGCCCTGCCCAAGCAATTCAAAAGCAAGGTGCACACACTAGCCACTCACTGACGGCAACAGCGATCAGCAAGTCCAAAAAGGTGAACCTACCACATGGCGCCACATCATGCCATAGCGTAGCAGCCATGCCCATGCCTTCCCTCTGATACGGTTCTGCGGTGTTCTTGGAGCCGGGTCAGCCTAGATGCGACAGGTGGCAACGCCACCCCACGCCCAAGCGCCAAACCAATCAGCGCCTGGGCCTCATCGAAGTGGTACTTGTGGCAAGTCAAAGCCTGCCAAAACGATTCAAGATGCTCCACATTGCGCAGGTCACAAAGTTAAAGTCGGACAGGTTGGGGGGGCTCTTTTCATCCGGCCTTTCTCTTGAGCTGCCCATGTCGAGCCACATTGCTTTCATCAGGCACCGCATCCTGCAAAAGAAATGATATCGGGATCAATGGGTCAACCTTTGACAGTGTTGCTCTGACGTTCACGAGTCACCGAATAGCAGAGCATTTTCCACATTCATTCATCATCTGCAGCACACATCAGCACGCAAAAAACACCAGTTCACATACTTACTTCGCTGCAAGCTTACCAAACTGGCCTCCTGCATATTGACTGCGTCTGGGCTGGCGGCGTTGGCAATCTCAAGCAGGGCCTGGCCCAGAGCGAAGATTGGTTGCGATCGTAGTTCCCAAAGTGAACACAAGAGCTTTGGCTGGTCCATTTTGCCTAAGAAATTTACCCTTCTAATGGAACCAAAATTTATGGCACTGCGTTCGCATCAAACAATTCAACTAAGGGGCCTTGGCCGCGGTCCAAGCTATTGACCACGCCATGTTCCCCTGTGACCCTGTTCGGGTCGATCCGTTACATGAAAAGACAAGTTCCCAAGATTGACATGTAAAATCAAAAAATCTGACATTGGAACTTTGTTTCCGAACGGACATGAACAGGCTGGTGGAAGAATGCGCAGTGTTCCTCATGCAGCCTGCAGAGGTTACAGGAGGCGCCCCAATCGATGGAATCCTCCAAAGTTGCTGTATTTTCTCAATGGGACTGCTTAGACCCCGCTGTCCAGAGCCATAGCCTATGTTTAGCAGACTGCCCATGAAAGAACCCCCCCCTCTTCGAGCGAAAATACGCCTTTCAGCAAGCCGAAACCAAAGTCTGCAGAATGCAAAGTCAGCAAGTTGATCGCCAATGGGACCCACAGCCATACACACTGAGACTACGTTGAACACATGCTGAAACTGATTCTGTCACGTCATGTTTCCTGCGCAGCCAACTTTTTCCCACTCTTTTGCCCCGCCACACAAAATGAAAAAACATACCGCAAGCCCTTGGAACCCCTTGGGTTGCAAGGGCTTGGAGTGTGTGTTTTTTTGGTGTGTTTTTGGATTGTTCCTGTCACCCGGCCAAAGCAAACAACAGCTTGCGCAACTGGGTGTAAACTATTCTAAATCATCATTGCAGCCGGGATATGTAAAAGTCCCCGTCCACCGTTGGGCGAGTCACCTGCGCAGATCAAGGTTTCAAATTGAGGGTTTGATTTGATGACATCAACAGCAATGAGAAAAGTCAACACCAGCCTCTCGAAAAGAGCAAGGTGAGATTCTCATGACTTCCTCAGCAGTTAGCATGATTTTCCAGCTGATGAGGACGGTTCGGGTTCCTGCCCGAAAAACCATGAGGCCCGGACGGAGCATTGGAAAGAAGTTCATCTCCTCGGGAGCAGAAATATGAATCTGTGGGTGGGAAAGCGCAAAACACAACTATGAGTCAGAGCGCAGCCCAACAGGGAATCCGTCATCAACAACATCACCAGGTGTGTTGACACCTCCACACGTTGCTACGATTGTGCCCCAGTGTGCGTCCAAGTCTTGTGGAAGCCTGCAAAACCCAGCGCTGGGACTTGATAAGGCATTAAGGCATCAACATCTATTTCCCAAGTAGAGGCGAGAGACAACTTCCCGAAAACCAATCAGGCGGCAACTAAAATCAAACTAAGTGTCCACTAAAACAAGAGTGTGCGCCGCTTGTCGCGCGCGAAGGCGAAGTGAAGCTACACACAAAGCACGTGAAAGACATAAGACGTCACCATTCCAGGAAGCGGCGCGCGAAAATGCAATATGCACAGGAGTCGTGCTTAGATCAGGCCAAAGTTCGCGCAACAAGCAAAGTCAACTGTTTGCACAACAGCCGGTTTTTGCAGTCTTTTGCCCTGTCACGCAAGTCCCAAAGAAGGGGAACAGATCCTGAGCCCTTGCAGGGCAATGTGTGTGTAATTCTTATCTCCGCCCGTGCCGGACCAGACCCAAATGACCAGAAGATCTACAAGAATTGGTCCGCCAGGGGCCGGGCTCATCTCCGGCAGCAGCCGCAGCACAGGTCTTTCAGCCCCTGGACCGTGGTCAGTATCAACAAAGACCTTCAAAGTGGCAAGGAGGTCTTCAGTTGAAATTTTACCTCCGATATCTTTTATTGCTTGCGTGTGAGGAAAATTGTCCCTTGTCACATCTCACGCAATCTATGCAGGCACTCCAAATAAGAGAACGGTCAGTCGTTCCACAAAACCACGCTGGGCGAATGAGACAGCCACTTCTCCGCCTGCGCTGCACCCCTCTCTGCTGCGCTCAAGCTTTGGCCCACCTGCACAGTAGTACAAGTACTGATCCCCAGACCCCAAATACAGGGAACTGGATGAATGGCTGGAACATCTGGAACTGGTAGGGCTAAGTCAGATTATGTCAGATCCAGTCATATCATGCCATGACGGGTACCCGGTTCGAAAAATATTTTACTCATGGACAATCATGGTTTAATCGTGCTTTTATCTGGTTGACAATGGCTGCGAACCAAAAAAAACTTCAAAATTAGGTTTCAGTCAAAACTGGCACGTGAGTCCACGCGAGCAAGCAAACCAAGGCCTGTGTCTCCATGGGTATGGTTGAAAAAAGGTTTGGGGAAGTTATTGACATAATCTGCCCGATTCAGCCGTGAAGTATCCACGTTAATCATATTTGTTGCATAAACACTCCGAAGAAAAAGCCATATGACCAACAATAATGTGACCACCAAAAAGACACTGACGCAATGCAATCAGAACAAAGAACAACAATATTTTGCGCACGATGTTTGGGTTGGAGCGACCTACGGCTGATAACCTGTGAATTGGAGTTTCCTTCCAATACGTATCCGGTATGTAGTAGAGTTGTCACCTGTCGATGCTGATCAACGCAGAGCTTCGGCCATTGCTTTCTTTTCCGTGGAGCTGTGCAGTAAAGGATCTTGAGCCAAAGGGGCAATGGATTCGGACGCCCCTTGGCTGGAAACTGTTGACTTGCTATACATGGGGAATGTGATATGTACTATTCCTGTCATTTCCCCATTCGCAGATATATATATATATATATATATATATTAATAGATATATATATATATTAATAGATATATATATATATATTAATAGGTATATATATATATATATCTATTAATAGATATATATATATTAATAAGTATGTATATATATATTAATAGATATATATGTATGTATTAATAGATATATATATATATTAATAGATTATATATATATATATTAATAGATATATATATATATTAATAGATTATATATATATAAATTTGTGTCAAGTTGCCAACCAGCAAAATTTCGACCTGCGAGGGTCACCTGGTAGTTGAGGCCTGCGGTCAGATATCTCGCCGGGAGTGCAATCAACTGAACGTGTGACCCCGGGCCATCTCCCCTCTGCAGCTTGCACACAAACCGTCAAGAACAACAATGATAATAATAATGATAATAATGATAATAATGATAATAATGATAATAATAATACTAATAGTAATGTCTTTGCCCTCATCACGGCCCTTGCTTTAAGAATTGCTCTTCCAACTGTTGTCAGCGTTGTGATCGACGTTGTGATCATCGTTGTAGTGGTAATGATGGCGATAATGGTGATGGTGGTGATGGTGGTGATGGTGGCAGGCTCGTGGTGGTTGCTCACGAGGTTGTGGTTGTTGCTTCTGCTGCTGCTGTTGTTGTTGCTATTGTATATTGTTTTTTCTCCTTCTTCTCCTTCTCCTTCTAGTTTTTGGTAGCTGGCTCTGCTGATTTAGTATGATTTATCTGTTTGCTGATATTTATCTGGTCGTTGACTGTTTGTTGCTGACAAGTTGTCTGCTTCTTGGCTTCGACAGTTGCTATTGCTGCTACTGATGCAGTTGTAATTGCTGTGTTGTTCACCCTTCATTTTCATTTCGCAGGATTTGAAGCGTCCATTTTCCCAAGGATTTCTGTTAGTGCCTGCTTCATCCATTGGCAAAGTAGCTGCTTTGCCAAACAAAAAGTTTCATCAGCTCAGTGGCGACGCCTGGAGTGCAGGCCACGTCCACTACTCGAACCCATTGCGGTGGAGATCCGGCACGTGTTTGTTCCAAAGAACCACGGAGAGAGAAATCGTCGTAAACCTGGCCACAGCTGTGTTTTTGAGGTCGATGAGTGAGATCTCAGAGGTGCGCTCTCTGTACCCTCCTTACCATCCTTGCCGTCCTTGCCGTCCTCTGTCCTCGCCTGCGTGCCGTTCAAGAAGATACGATAGCGATCAACAGATCCACCGACGTCGGTTTCCTTCTGTAGCCAGGTTACTCCTAAGTTTGGCAAAACTCAACGCATTGCAGGGCGACCAACCGGCACCAGTGTTGACAAAGGTGCAAACAACAGATAAGAAACACATGAAAAAAACATTGTCAAAACAAGCAAGGGCTTTCAAGCTTGAATGTCGTCTTTGGTGACACAAGAAAAAGTCTTTGGAGTGTTCCCCTCAACTGTCTCAAGGCTTCTCTCTTTCCGCTAAAATGAACAAACGCATCAAATTCTTATGAATTGAACTATATCTATATCATCAACCACTTCTTGCTCAAGGCAGGGCTTGTGCAAGTGCATGTGAACGCGGGTGTGTCTGTGTCTATGGCTGTGCAACCAGTCAATCTTTGGAAGACATCTGAAAACGGTAAATCCCAGCCCTGAAAGTGCAATCTTTCAACCTCTGATCATGGTGATCATGGCTGCAGAGTGTCGAATATGACCCAAAGTCCCAAAAGTCTTGAAGGTGTAGCCAGAACTTAGAGTGCCGTCCAAACCTCCAGAACTGCTATACCTTGGGCCGAGACATGTGATGACTTGTGATGGATACCGCAACTCGCTGATTTTGACACCTTGAATCCTGGCGCTTTTTCTGGAGACTTGGACCAGGAACATTAGAAAGACATACTCGGTATCCATGGACAGCGCACAGTTGGTCAAGGTCCACTGCTGCAAAACATTGGCCAAAGTTGTGATCGGAGTTGAACTTTGACAGCAGTTTGGCCCACCTGGCACTCCAAGGTGCTCGAAGAATCCGTCGTGACATGTCGTAACTCTTCGGACGAAGGAGAATGTTTATCTTGGTACAGTATATTTCGAAGCTTTTGCAATATGTTAAAGAATCTTGCAAGATTCAAACAATTGAGCTGAGTCTTTCTAAGACTGCGTCTTTCCGCAGGCACATTGGTCTATGGCGTCGAACATGCGTTGAGAGTTTCCGTGTCGATCCTTCCACACATGCCGTGTTCCTTTCATGACGGGACCATTATCATCCATCATCCACTATATCATCCTGTTACTAATTGTCCATGATTATAGACTGTTATCCAAAAAAAACATGATTATCCATAACTATTCTTTATTGTTCATAGTTCTTCATGATTCCATCCATTTTGATTCACCAATTTTGCGTGTCCCGCCTAGGCTGACATTTCCACTCATCACTGAAGCGCCAGGAACGCTTTCCACCATCTCTGGCAGGACGATGGCGCACCAAGCAAAGCCTGCAGTAGGTGATGGATTCTTGACATAGAAAACTCTATCATAGCTGGGATTTCATGGATCTATAATGAATCTATGGCTGATTGATGTGAAAAATTGATGTGAATATGTCATTCCTTTCATGGATTTCATAGGTTTGGACCCCCATGTGCTTTGCAACTTGAAATGGGAAGAAATGCAGAGCGGGCCCAAGAGCACCCGAGATGAGACACTGTGAACTTGTTGTGCTGTCCTCATGACGCTGCCCCTTGCGGGTTGATGAATGTAGTTCACGAACCGAAAGTCCATCTCACAATTATATCATAATGTTGCAATCAACTCACCAACTTGCCACCTTTCATAGCTGCAGCTACACCAAAGAACACACCACTACTTAGTCAGGTGTGATATGCTGCCACCAGGAGCCTGCAGTGGCAGTCCGATATTCCATGGTGAAGTTGTCTGCATAAGCAGTGCCCAGCAGTCTAGGCGAGATGAGGAAGTAGTTGCCTTGGTTATGTCTATTGGTACCCATGTTCTACCCGCAATAAATTAGTTTCTCATAATTTCTCCAAATCCACAATGCTGATGCAATGATTGTCTTAACCAGAAACCCTGAAACGATCTAAAACAATTTTCATTCTGAGCCTATCCAACCACTGTGCGTCATATCAGTCATATCCAACCATTGAGCAGTGTCGTATCTGTCCAGGCACTGGCATCTGCAAGTTTCAGCACACGGATGCTGGCGAGCGCTCCATCATTGTTATCGCCAGAGTCCTCCACGTAGATGCCGATCCTTCGCGAAACCAAAACTGGGCAAAGCAACACATACATGGACAAACATTGCAAATCTCATGCTCGGCAGTGGCAAAAGTTTATCTTCGATATCCCATCTTGCTCAATCTATTCTAGCATAGTACAGCTATACGAGTACCAGGCTGTATCTAGCCCAGCTGCAGATAATCCGTTCGCGGGTCAAAGGTGCAATTGCTGAAGTTCAGCCATGTTGCTGCCTTCAAAGGCGGTCGCACACCGATGCTATGGGAGTTCTATAGATTTTTGAAATGACAATGCGGTGTTTCGAGGCTCGACAAAAGCTTCTGAGTGAAATTCAAATCCAAGCTTGTCGTTGTTTTACATACTGGTGGTTTCCTGAAATGGGACCTCCAAATCATCCATTTTAGTAGGATTGTCCCGTTTTTTTAGTCCATCCAATTTGGGATATCCCCATTTCAGGAACCCCCCGAATGATGATCTCATGATGATCTCGTCTACCTGGGCGCCGAATGGATTGAGCTCCACCGTGAAATCTACAGCGTCAAAGCTGCAGTTGGCACTGTCATAGGACCTGATATGACGACGCTTTAGTGTCTCAAAGAAATGGCAAAACTTTACCATCTCTTACCATCTCTTGATGATCCAACATGTTTCCAAACCTCTACCTCGAACCAGGTTCCGGAAAAAGGCTCAAAAACCATGGCAGCCTGAGTCTACATCCACCAAGCTGCGGTCCATTGTTTGGATATGTCTGCCACGTCTTTAAGACATTCAGGTTCAAATCTCCAGCCCAGCGTTCCACCGTTGGATAAAGTGACGCCAAGACCTGCGCTGATACTCTGCCGAGAGATCGTCATAGATCCGTATATGATCCGAAAAAACCCTCTGGTTATGTCAAAATAGCTATTGAAAATTGCCATTTATAGTTGATTTGCCCACTAGAAATTGTATTTGTCCATAGCTATGTTAGTTTACCAGAGTGTATATCCGTCTTGTGCTATGGTGTTCATTTATTTGTTCGGCATGCGACAAATGCTGTCACTTCTTTAGAAGCCTGGCTTCTCTTGGCACCTGAAGTAACTCCAGTTATTAGTGAGTCGACTAAGTGGAAAGACATCCACACTTTGGACAAAGAAAGAGGTGGGAAAGAAGCGGACTTGTCAAGACTCAAATGATCCAAATGATCCCGTATCTGCCAGAATTCTGTGTCCGACAGCCAAGCTTGCCAAGCTGCTATTCTGGCCCAAATGCGCCCGGAATTTCTTGGGAAAACCTCCACAGAGAGAGATCCATTGGTGTCGAACGCAGCAATACGTGGGAACGGCCAGAGAAAGGTGTTGCTGATGTCCAGCACCTGACAAATCAGGGCATCGGGACTGACACTTTAACATGAAAATCCATTGGAAGATTGGGTGACATGGAATGGAAGCTATCTTTTTGCAGGCTCCATATAGATAGCTGATTTTCCTATCATTTCATTGGGATTATCTGGGATTATCATGAAAAATCAGGTACCAATTGGGTACTTTGACGAAGCCCGGCATGCAGCAGCTAGGACTCCAGGCAGCAACAGGTGGTGAGAGGTCACCAATACCTCCAGAATCATCTTCCACCTTAGTAACTAGGGCAAGAAATACCACAGACTTTTCTGTGAAATTCATATATATATATATAATATATAATATATATATATACACCATTATACACCGATTAACTGCATACAAACCAGGGGAATAATGTCTTCACGACTCCTGCGTCCTCACCACGTGCTCAAATTTGAAGCAAGGGAAAAAAACATGAGAACCCATCTGTCACAATGATGTTCAGAGTGAGAGTTTATGATCTTGTGTCTCTCATCCCGTCCAAAGTTTGCATCGCGGGGTGGTAGAGAAAAACAAATGCAACAAAGACAAACGCAAAAGAACAACTGAAAATGCTGAGGGAACAAAAAAGGAAACACTTTGGAATTTTGTTCCAGGGTCTACCATAATCTGCCTGCAACTGGCTTCTCAAAGTCACGTAAACAAAGGCAGAGTAGAAGGTGATGCCTGCACCCGAGAGAACCAGGTCGCAATTCGTCAATTCCACAATGGTCTCTCCAGTTCCCATGCTGACCTCGAGGCGCTTTCGAACATGATTCACGTCTAGTTACATGACTTGAAATGACAAAAACAACTGAAAATTTTACATGTGTGTGTGTGAATACATACACAAACATGCATATAATATATATATTTATATATTTATATATGTGATTATATATGCACCTGCATCTGTATATCTGTATGTCTGTAAGTTCATATGCATCTCTATATACTATATACATATGATACATATGTATGCATGACACAATTACGTGTGTGTGTGTGTGTAACATATGAATATAAATATATGATAGTATATGTGTGCATAGACGTGTTCATGGAACAAACAAATGCGTCTGATGAATCCACAAAGGAAGTAGCCTGTGCTACTTCATAGCCCTAGTTGGGCTGTCCGCTTGCCCCCAATCAGGAGGTTGCAACGCTGCAACGATGTTTAGGTCAGGATCTGGTTGCTTTCCGTGTCAAATATTTTGGTCTCTGAACGATTTCATTATCTTATCTGATCCATACCCCTTTGTCAGCATCCTGTGGCCAGGTGCCAAGTGGTAGGCCCCACGAAAAACGGTTCCCAGGCGGTTTGGCCAGGAGGCATCATTCTTGCGACAGCCTGTCTGTCCAACAGTGTCAGGGTTCAAGTCCATAAATTTCGCTGTCTCGACGGTAAACACGTTGATCCTGCAGAAATGGCTTGACATGTTCACTCAAACCCAGCAAATGGATAAACGCAGAGCAACGCAGCACAAAAAAACCATCCACGATGCTGCAATCGTTATTATGGCACTGCCATCATCCAGCGCATATGGGAGTCTGCGGTCTACATGCTTCCCTGTGGGGTTCTTTGAATCACCAACATCCTATAGTTGGATATTGGGCCGTCTTGGGGCTCAAAAGGTGTGAATGTCCACTCGTTCTTGGGTATCATGTCTGGGGCTACGTAAAAATTATTCATATACAAATTGCACGGCAAATGATCTTGCTTGCATGAGGCAGCTTGTTCAAACTTGCCCCTGGAGCAAACACACAACTGCATTGGGTAAATGCATGAACACACCAACATGTCCTTGATGCGTCCATTCAGGGTTTTTGCCAAGGTGACATGTTTTATCAGACAATTTGACGGATACCCACATCATGTTGTTACAAATGTGCAAAACCACTCAATACTTGGGTGGTGTTTCCATTCCCCTTGACATTTGGCCCTTGGTGCTGCACCAATCTCTGCTCCTTTCTCTGTCCCCTTCCCACCCGAAGACCGCAGCCGGGTGTCTTGTCATTCGGCAATATGAATGCCCAATACCTGGAAAAGACTCGCAACGTGGCCCAAATTGCGACAGCAGACCGATAACAAGTCACAAAGAGAACGTTGAAAAATGTTGAAAACTCTGAAAGGCTCTTGTTGATGTCCTTTTTACATATTTTTCCAAAGGATATCCCCAAAGAATTAAAGGACCGGATAACCCCACAAGTCAACTTCTTCCAACAAGCAACAAAAGAAAGGCAAAGACGGCATGGGGTAAGCAAGAAAGAGAAAAGAGATGGTGAAGGATTGGTGTGGAGTAAGTTATGTGTGGACGAGTATGTGTGAGTAAGTTGTGTATGGATGAGTTGTGTTTGTGTGTGAGGTGTGTGTGTGTGCGAGTATGTGTGTGTGGTGTGCGGCCACGATCAAAGATGCCCCACGCCAGGAAGTGCGGCGAAGGGCAATCGATGCGTGACCATTGATTATGTGTCCGCAAACGTACAGCGCAGACCATCACGAAAACGGATGGCCCACGACTGGCGTTTGGATGATGTGTGTGTGTGTGTGTGTGGGTGTGTGTGTGTGTGCGTGGGCGTGTATGTGTGCGTGCGTGCGTGCGTGCGTGCGTGCGTGTGTGTGTGTGTGTGTGTGTGTTTGTCTGTGTGTGTGTGTGTTTGTCTGTGTGTGTGTGTTTGTCTGTGTGTGTGTGTGGGTGTTTGTCTGTGTGTGTGTGTATGTGTGTGTGTGTACGTGTGTGTATGTGTGTGTCTGTGTGTGTGTGAGTGCGGGTGTCGGCGTGGACCATGTACGCGATGAGGTCAGTACCTGGCAGGTAGTATCAGAAGATGCGATCACGCTGAAATTGCAACAAAACAGCTGTCCATGGGCAGTGCAGAATTTAGCCTACAACGCTCCTGTTCCTCTTGGCTTGTCAACTACTGCCCCACGACACCGGTGCAGACAAGCGCATGAGAAGCAAACACAGCTGCACCTTTCGAAGTTTTGCCGCTATGATTCATCGGATAACGCATTTGCTTCTCGCATCAACTATCGCACAGTGCTTCAATGTGGCCACAGGAGCTATGGAAACTACCTTGCCTCAATCCATCGGATGACACACTTCCTTCTCGAACAACTGTCGCAGTGTGATAAACTCTCTTCAAGAGGAGAGGCATCATCTTTGCACGGTGCATCAATGTGCCCACACAAGCTGTTAACACAAACTTCAATATCGCAGGCATCATCTTCGCACATTGCATCAATGCGCCCACGACAGCAGTTGACAGTGTACCATCCCATGACATGAAGCTCTCGCGACATCTGCCTACATGGCATCATAAGGCAGTAGAACAAAATACAAATAATGGTAGCTACCTCGCCTCAATTCATCGGATGACACACTTCCTTCTCGTAACAACTGTCGCACTCTGATAAACTTTCTTCAGCAGGCATCATCTTCGCACAGCGCATCAATGTGCCGACACAAGCTGTTAGTATAAACTTCGCTATCGCAGGCATCATCTTCGCACATTGCATCAATGCGCCCACGACAGCTGTTGACAGTGACATACAAATAGCTGCAACTGTTTGCACAGAACCTGTTCTGAGCTGGGACGAACGCCATCTTTTCTTTCGATCGCATTTGCATCGTGTTCAGGCATGCATAGTGCTTGTCCTTGCGCAACTGCTGAATGCTTTTTGCAAATGCCATGCCACCGTTCTTCAAGAAATTGTACGATGCGTTCCGCTGATCAGTCAAACGAGAAATCGTACAGATCTCCACGATTTCGCGCTGAACCGATCAACGTAATGCTTCGTACAACTTTTTGAAAATGGTGGCATGGCATTTGCCAAAAGCATTCAGCAGTTATGGAAGGAGGACTTAGCATCAAATGCATCTTCGCACGGCGCGTCAATCGATAAAGAGCATATAGTCTTTGTTCTCAACTCCCAGTTTGTAAGTACGTCCGAGACCAAAAAGGAGTAGATGAAAATCCAGAAACAGTTTCTATCCAGTCTGCCTGTAGTGATACCATTCTGGCAGACTGCATGCATGCTTTCCAGTGCTCCGACAGCCGTTATACCGCAAGAGTCTGCATCCGGTCTGCAGTGACACCGCAAACCGTTATCCACGTGCCTCGATTGCATCAAACCTTGACGCAGAGCAAACACAGGAAACCCAGGGTCTCTGCCTGGACCGTCCAGCCACAGACGCTGGGAACTGACTCGCAAGGTCGAACTGATGCTGTATCTGTAACTGTTCCTGAAGATTCGGTGGCAGAATTGATTCTGCACTGCTCACGCACGTCAGCTCTCACCCGCGCGACCCGGCCCAACCCGCTCGCGGACCCAGGGCTGCGCCGGGCAGACCGTCGAGGCTGGAAAAAAAAAGCGGTTGCATGTTGAGTGGTTCAGCATGCTGTCTGTTGGGTAATAGCGTTGCGTCGTAGTCTTGACCTGGTCGGTCTTTTTCCAGGCTGCCCGCTCGGGCAGCCTGGCCCACCCTCCCTACCTCCCCACATGGGGCCTGCCAGCAACTCTGCCGCAACACTTACAGCAGAAGCACCGCCAGGCCACATCAGAAGAACCGCATCATCACAGAAACCGCCCGTCAAAGAAAAGTTCGAGACAAAAAATCTTTCTGCGATGCAAAGTCACAAATTTTAAGAACCAAAAGAACTGACGGTCACATTACTGCAATGTCACTGAGCATGGTTCTTTGCAAACCATTGCGCCAAACCAATGTCAAAGCATGCACCAACAAAACCGCGCCTGCCCTAAGGTCACAGGCTCGATGACGATACCACAACGGAAATGTACCTGGTGGCACAAGGATAGCGATGTACATGGAGCTGTTATCAAAGCAACAAATACACAAAGGAAAAAAATGAGGTTGCCGCACGAATGCCACCTTTTCGCCTGGATCAAAATCTTGACAAGGTCTGTAGCACTTCTTCCCACAGTGGGGCAAAATGCAAACATGTCACGAACATTTCTCATGTAGCCGTGGCGACTGCAGTCTTCCCACATTGAGTCAACCATGGGTCCCACAGCTAACAAAAGGTATGATGGCCGTCGTCATTCTCATGTCTTCCCACATGAGATGACAGCCGAAAACAGATTCATTCGCCGGCCGCGCTTGTGTCTTCCCACAGTGAGTCAACACTTGCACGTCGGGCGACGTCAATACGGCGCACAATTGCACACTCAGGCGCCGTCCTCTGCCATCGCTGTCTCTTCAGGCGTTTGCTCGACGGCGATGGCGAGTCGTTTCATTGGTGTCCATGTCGAATCATATGTGATGGTCTGTGGGGCACTCACCTCTGACTGGTACAGCTGCATCAGAAATCGTGTGGCTCCTTCCACACGGTGCGCTTCAACTGGTACGTGCCAGAGCACACTCCACTCGCCTTCTTCTTCGGTGTGGGCCAAGACCACCAAGTGCGCTTCGCCTGCGCGGCCTCGTAGCATCCAATTGACCACCGAAGCCGGACCAGCGCTCCGCAGCTTTGCCCGGTGCGTCACACTTGTCTCGGCGGTGCCACACAGCAGGCAATCGACGGATCTCTTCACCCGCATTGCTGAGACGGCTGTGTTGTCTTGCTGCAGAGCTTCATCATCGGGCAAGGTCACATCATTGAAAGCGACCAGTGCACGCACGAAACTGGCTTCCACGTCACCAACGCAAATCAACCCCAACTGCACATCGACTTGCAGCATGTTCAAAGGTGCCACGGGGCAGCCAGTGTTCAACAGGCAGTGTGGCACTTTCCGCTGGAGCGTGGCAGGCTCCACGACAGCATTGGCTCCGCTGGCCCGCCAGCACGGCTGCAGATGACGGCACTCTAGCTCTAGAGTTTGTTGATAATCGTTCTCACGGAAAGTGAATCTGCAAAGCCACTGGGCCCCACGGAACAAGTCACGCAGCTGCAAGCGCACTGCCGGGGTGTCGTGCACCGTCTCGGAGAGCGTGCAACCCATGCTGGCAGCTGCTCGCAGCACCAGTTCGTGGTACAGCACGATGGTGCACTGGCAGTTGCAATCTGCAAGCGTGAGCCTGAGAGCAAAGCGTTTCTCGGTGCCGTCCGTCGGATGGGCCTCAAAGCTAGGAAGCAACGTACAGACAGCCAGGAAGCAACGTACAGCCGGTGCAATAAGGCTTTTGATTACAAACAGATACCAAACACAATTAGAGAAGATCGCACAAGAACGGCTGGAGTCCACGCCTCGCACGGTGCTGCTTTCTTGCACTTCGCACACGAATCGATGAGCCACACATCCGTTTCCGTCTTCACAGACGAAATGCCTAGAACTTGCAAACCGACAACCTCAAAGACCGTCTCCAACTTGCGCAGTTGTCCAGGTACGATCGCTCCCACGAGAGCACTCAAGGATGAGGGGGTGGCAGGGCAACCAATCCAATCCTTCACAGGAATTTCCGTCAACATTCGGCAATTGTCTTGGTGAGCTAGCTCTGCCTGCCTGCAGCAAGGGTATGTTGAGCAAAAGGTAAAAGGAACGGAACAGCCAAAGGAAACATCATACAGCCAAGAGACAATGCCGTCGCCATCTCTGCACTGCATGGCACCAGAGACGTGCCACGCCAGCTGCCGATCTCCCACGATCTTTCATCCTTGCGCTTGGTGATCAAAACCTGGTAGAGCATCAGACTCGTTCCAGCTGTCTGTGCTGCCAATTCTTCAGCCTGCTCATGCCAAAAAGAACATCTCACTCGCGTTGCCCCTTGCTGCACAATAGCATTGCACACCATCGCAGCACCTTCCTTCGTCTGACGTTCCACCGACCCTGGATTCTCCACAATTGTGACCGAAACACAAATCTGCTGCCGATCTCGGACCCGATCCAAAGCAGAGAGCGGCACTAGCGGATGCACGGCCGGAATTCCCTGCCACGGACTTTCGTCAAGCTTCTGCACAATGACCTGTAGTCCCACAGGTCCTTTCAGATTCAAATGGTAATGCAGCCGCGAGGTAGAGTATTGGGCCGGCGCAGATACCACAGCAGCTCCTTGGATGGAGACCACATCACCGACCTGGCATTTTTGTGCTAACTTGTCTCCGTTCTCGCCCCAAGCTTCCACGTAGAGCACTTCACTCAAGCTCTGCGTAGCAGCGATATGCGCTTCCAACTTCCGAAGCGTGCGGGTCTCTGGCAAACCTTTTGCAGCTTTGCCGCCCTTGCCTTTTCTGCCTCCACTGGGCGCTGCCGCCGCTTGGGTTCCTTTTCTCGACTGGATCTCTTGGTGCTTGAGGATCACGATGCGCCCAGCCACGGCAGTGTTCTGGTCGCCGCGGTACTCGGACGGCTTCAAGCACGTCACTGCCATGTTCGTGCTTCTGGCCGTACCCATGCGGTCCCAATATTCTATGCAGCTTGCTTTGATGTACAACTGTGAACTCATAAATGCATTATTGAAAACATTTGGTGGTCTTTATGCTCTGGTGGATGTGGTGGCTTCTTTCCACGTTGGGCCAAAGCCACCAGAACGGCAATCGATGATTCGATATTGATCTAGAACGCTGTTTGTATAGTGTTGTATGAGCTACCAAGTGATAACCACAAGTGTCGAGCCGTCGGTACCGAGCCAAAAGCACCTTCGAAAGGAGCATCTCTGCACACGATTTTGCAAGAATGAAGGAACATGTCACATGGTGCGCTGCGCCGAAATTGTCCAAGCAATGCGATGACAGCCATGCCTCTTCTACAGCCACGCGTCGGAATGTGATAACATCGAGAGAAAGGATCTGGTTGTCAATGCACCTCATACACACGCATATGACGAGCATAGCATAGCAATTAAATTATACCATACACACGGCATTGCATTTCTTACCCACCGGATGAACGCAGTACCAAGAAGGCAAGTTCTCTTTGCATAAACTGCATGCACAGACATGCGGTATCACTAGGGTTATATTTTGTTTTCTATCTGCATTCCACTGTCAATTGTTTCATGTGAATTCTTCCCACAGTGGGTCAAATTCGAAGCTCATCGGGACAATGGGCCAGCAGTGGGCACGTTGCGCCAAACCAACTTGTTTCCGGATCACTGCGGATACTGTTGGATAGCGGTCATCCACCTTGGTCACATGGACATTGAACATTTTGATCTCTTCGGCGTTGGCGTCATTTCTGACAGAGCTCGCTCCACAACCTCACACACAGACAACCGCCTCTTCTCCCAGGTTTTGAGCGCCCACAAAATGTGTGGCCTTTTCACCCAAGGATTGAGAGTAGGACGTGCCTTCAAGAGCACATCAATGGCGTCGTCTGCGTTCATTGCGTGCTTGAAAATCAGCCACGCAGCCAAAGCAGCGCTGCTCCGATTGATGCCACCAAAACAATGAAACAGCAAGCCAGTCGAGAGCTTGTCTCCTCGCTCTGAAAGAGAACGACTGATTTGCACACACATACTTTGCCATGCGGCGACATAGCAGTTACCCATCTCTTCGCAAAAAGAATCTTCTCCGGGCCACTTTGTTCTGGGATCGTCCAAATCTATCGTGACGTGTTCCACAGACATTCCAAGCAAGAATGCAGCCCAGCCTTCTTCGGGTTGTCCACGAATTCTTTGCATCTCAGATGTGCACAAACTGATGACAACATGCACTTCTTTCGTGTCCCTCAGACATCGCAGAGCTGCCAGGCTGCCGAGAAAACAAGTTGCAGTCTCCGTGCGGTCGACCGGGTGCACACGAACCATGTCGTTGGGCCATTCTGAAATGTCACCAAAATGATACTCGAAACCATTCACCAGTCGATCAACTTCTGGCCACTCACTTTCCGGCATTGCGGCACTGCGACGAAGCTTGGCGGCTGCATCGGTGCACCATTGCTGCATTTCCGTATCATACGGATCCATGTCTACAATTGATCGATCCAATAGCTTCTTCGCACGTTGCACCAAAGCCTCGGATCGGCAGTATGTCACAGGGCAGAAGCGAGCCAGACTGCGTGCGTGTTTGAAAGCCAACCAAGCCGAGCAGCAAAACTCATGGAAACAATGTGGAAACATAATTCTTTCAACGCAGCCTGGACAAAGGATTCCTTTTGACACGCGCGACTCTGGTCTGACCGCCATCACGTAAAAGAAAGACAAAAGTCACCACACATTGTTTTAACCTTTGTCTTGGATGATTTTGAAAACGGCATCATTCAATGCCTCTGCGAGCGTCAGGTAAGAAGATTGCAATTTTCTGCGTGATGGGAGCACAAAAAGATTCTATATACTCTGTGTCAACAAACGGAGCGGCGTGCAAACCTTTAAAGCCCAGAAAACTTTTTTCTCCAGGACCAGGAATGCATTTCTGAAAGTACGCCGCTAAAATGCAATTTAACGCGACCACGTCCATTACTGCACTGCAATCACCTGTAAGCGTCGCCAACCATCGATGATCCCAATTGGCAAATCGAACAGCATGGGTTTTGCAGAAATTTGCATAGGTAGGTCCATGTTTGGACTCATGATTCGTCGACGGTGGAACTTGCGCGTCATCCATGTAAAAGCTTTGAAAGGCTTCCCAAGACCAGGCCATAATCCACCAACAAGCTTGAAACTGCACTGGTTCCACAAAGGTATTTTTCGTTCTCTTCTGCCGATAACCCTGACCAGCCATTTCCCAAGCTTGCCGCGGCACTGTCTTGGCGCGTGGTTCAGCCGGAGCCGGGGTGCCATCCGAATATGTGAATCGCTCCAGATAATTCACCCGCGTTGACACTTGGATGGGTAGAGGCACTTTCAAGCCACCACCAAGAGCAGACCGAATCAGCTCTGGAGTCAATCGTGGGATTTCTTCTGCAACCACGGAGTGAACGAATTGATATGTTTCCTCCATTTTCATTTCCCAAGTTTTCAAAGCCCATAAGATGTGAGGTCGTTCCTGCCAAGGATTCAACGTAGGTCGCGCTTGCAATAACAATCGAATTCCTTCAGAGGCAGTCATATGATGCCGAAATATTAGCCAGGCCACCAAAGCAGCGCTGCTGCGATTGTTTCCGGACAAGCAATGGAAAAGCAGTCCAGCAGGAATGTGTTCTTTGTGATTTCTCCGAGACCGGCAGATAAGGACGCACATGCTCCGCCATGCAAAGAAATATGCATTCGCCATCTTTTGGCACAAGGGACCTTCTCCTGGTGCTGTTGTTTTCGGATCAGCGAGTTGAATTGCAAAGTGGTCGATGCACAAACCACGCAGAAATTGGTCCCAGCCTTCCTGAGGACGGTCAACAAGGTTACGGAGGTGAGGTGGGCCAAAGCTTACCATTATGTGAATGTGATCTTCTAGTGTAGGGCAGCGCAAAGCTGCCGAGCTGCCGACGTAGACTACTTCTGTGGAGCCTTCACCGGTGCCGTACACACAGGCAATGTTTTCACCATTGTGGGCCATCTTGTGTCCAGCATTCCTTTCCGATGTCTCATCTTGTGTCCAGCCGCGACCGATGCGGGCCTGCATCTGGACACACCAGCGTCGCGTTTCGTTGTCGAACGGCTCCATGGCATTGAGATGTAGGATCAAATCGAACAAGACAGCTGCGGAACAGAAAGATACACCGGCCTGCGCAGACCGAACTTTTGCTGTTGAGCTCCCGGCCTCACGCGAGGCCGTCATTGACGTGCAGTGCCTGGCAGCAACGAAATGAACACAAGCGAGAACAGGAATGCATTATTTCTAACAGAAATGAACACATAGTTCTTCCATTATTTCTAACCAGCATTGCATTTCCAGATATGAAAGTTGCCGCGCGGTTGCTTCATTTTTTTCACAATGACTCCTAGGCTATGTCTCTGCCAAGGCTATCCTCCTCCCACATTAGGTCAATGACGGCCAAGAACCACCGGCTGCAACCCGTGTCTTTCCACATTGAATCAACAGCAGGTTGCGAGCCAATCAAGCTGGAGACTTGCTTGACGATCACACTCCAGCGACCGGAGCAACAGGTGGCTCCGTGGGGGAGCCTAACAAACGAGTATGCGGCAAGAATGCAGCAACTTTCTGTGCAACAGGCGCGCAAAAATCTTCTAAATTGCCAAATGAGCGATAATACAAACCATAATACCCCATGACATCGTCATTCTTGTCACTTACCATGAGCTGTCGCAAAAAGTCTGCCGGATCATGCGTCAACTGCACTGGATTGAGAACTCTGGTGCAACTTGCTGTCAGCGATCGCAAGCGATTTGCGGCTGGGTCACCGAATCTGACAGCAAATTTTTTGCAAAATCGATCTCTTGTCAGTGGATTCTTCGCCTTGTGAGCCAGTGGCGGCACCTTGGCGTCATCGCCATAGAAAGCATCGATGACTTCCCAGAGCCAGGATACAATCCACCAACACGCCTGGTACTGCACAGGCGACACAAAATTACGTCGCGACTTCTTCTGATGCCGTCCTTTCCCTTCTGCTGCCCAGTCATCTCTTGTTTTTCGCGGGTGCGGCCGAAACGCCTGGCTGCCATCTCGGTTGTGATACCGTGTGCAATAGTCCAAAGACGTCGTGGGTTCATGCGGAAAACGCACGGCTGTGAAAGTCAGAGACAATAAGGACCAAACTCGGAGATATTCTTGCGTTGATTTGAAAACATGGACCGCACCCGTGTGCAGTGGCTGCCCGGGAAATACAAAGCCATCGCAGCCTTCCTGATCGCAAAGCAAGAAGTCGATCCTTTGTCCTCTGGTATCGATCCATCGCTGCACTGCTTGATAATCTTCAGGGGTAATGTCTGTGGTGGTTGGGACATTCCAAGTCACGACCTTTCCCTGCACGCAGCAACAGCCATGGACGCATTTCCTTGCTCCATCGTCGTGGGCATGCAGCTCGATGATCATGGTAACGTTTTCTATTCCGGTTATGTCCGGCAAAGAGACATCCAGTCGTTTGCAGTCCGAGTACCGAATTGCCCATGACTTGCAAAGTACTTCTGGCTTCTGGCGGCAGTCCTGCAAGTTCCATTGCAGAAATTCTGTTCGCTCTCGAACTTCTTCGTCGACAATAGCCTGCAATCACATGTGTCATACCTTTGAGGAAGTTGATTTTTTTAAGCAACAAAAGTAAAGCGCCTCCTCAAGCGCAGGTTCATTTGCTTTCGTCCCTGCCTGCTCGCAAAGACTTCATTGATGACATCAACCAAGAACCGAATCAGACACAGAAGACTTGAATTGATACCGGTTCAGACAACTTCCACCTGCTCAACGGCCGGCGGCTTTGGCAGCGGCTCTACCGCCTGACAAACAGAGTTTGACACGCATCCAACAAGTGCAGCATCCGATCTAGGAGCTTTTCAGCGACCATCGGCTACAAACAAAAGTGCCATTTCTCATCCAGTCATGAACTAATGATGAGGAAAATGAATTT